AATATATAAACAAAAATAAATACCTTTGAGTCCAACTCAAGTGAATAGATATTAATATATAAATAAAAGTAGACCTTTGAGTCCAACTCAAGTGAATAGATATATATAATATATAAATAAAAGTAAATACCTTTGAGTCCAACTCAAATGAATATATATATAATATATAAACAAAAATAAATACCTTTGAGTCCAATTCAAGTGAATATACATATATATAATAAAAAAAATATATGTATAATATAAAAAAGTATATATATATATATAATATAAAAAGGAAACACCTTGAGCTTCTCAGGGTTCTCTCTTTCTCTGCAAGGACAGTGTCCAGCACCACTGGACAGGTGGTTCAGGTGCTGTGATCCACAGATGCCAGAGAGCAAAACCTCTCAGAAGGGAGCCAAGGCAACCTTCCCCTGCTCCAGGACAGGCTGTTCTGTTCACAGTGAACAAGTCACATCTCAGACACTTGGAGAGGCTGCTGGCCTGGGGGAATCAGGAGCCACAAAGGCAACAGAGCTTTTTTTTCCATGGAAAAGGACCCTGTAAGACCTGGGGGCCTCTCCTTCCACAGGGAAAACGCCCAGCCTGGTCAGCCCAGGGGGAATCAGAGCAAGCCCAGGGGCTGCACAGCAGTTCTGGCCACCAAATGCTTCCAGGGGCTGGGAACAGCCCCCAGAGAACAGCAGGGACTCCAAACCCCTCCAAAGGCAGGACCCTGCTCTCCCAAGGCAGTGCCAAGGCTGGGAGGGCAGTGCCCAGCATCCCCCATCACCAACCCACCCCAAGCCGGGTGTGCTGCCCTCCGAGCCCGCAGCTCAGGGGCTGGGCCGGTGCTCCAGCCCAGCAAAGCTCGGGAATGCTCTCCCCCCTGCTCCCAGCCCCGCAGGCTGTGGCTCGGGGTGGATCAGCCTCTCCGGAGCGAGGAGGGGACAACCAGCCCGGCTTTCGCCTCCCCGCCCGGCCCCGCTCCGAGCGGGAGCGGCAGCAGCGCATTATTATTAATGCAGCAAATTAGCAGTTGAGCCTCGTTAGCCCCGCTCACGTCACTGCAGCTGCATTAGAGGCTGTCGGAGGGATTATGAATTATTCACACTAATCAGGGCCCTGGCAGCGGGGTCCGGGGGCACAGCCAGGGCAGCGCCCGCAGCTCCTGCTGCAGGAGCAGCCCAGCTGCTCTCCTTTCTGACGAGCGCTTTCCTTGGAGCCGTTGCCATGTCAACACATCTGTCTGGGCCATCCTACTTGTCAAAAGTTTAAGGTAATCTAGCGCAGAAAGGCGAGGAAGGCTCTGAAGTGCTTTAACCCTTCCCCGGGCAGGCAGGGCTCACAGAGCTGCCGGGGGGAAAAACAGAAACAGCAGCCGAATTTCCCCTACCAAAGGATCCACCAACCCCTCTGGATGCAGTAGACTAAAAAAAAGATCACCACACTCCAAGAAAAGCACACACAACCCCCCCAAAACCCTGGATTAGGAGTCCTAGTCCAGCAGCAACCTCCTGGAGCCCGAGG